ACCATATATCCCCGTCAGATTAAAAAACTAATTTGAAAAGATTAATGTATTCCATTCTTGTTACGCTGGCTCTGATACCTCTGGGCCCGCGGCCGCTCTGCCTCCTGATTATTGAATTTTTATGGCCTGGTAATTAATTGCAGATTCCCTGTTTTGTTCTATTTCTTTTTCTCTGACATTTTAATTTCAACAAAAAGCAGTGGTCTCCATGCAGGTTCTCTCTGGAGATCCTAATGGTCTATAAAACAGAATGACTTATAGACGTGGCACCCACTTCAGTTGGCGAGCGATTGTTTGAAACCTTGCTGATCACGCAAAATTTAATTTTTCCGCCTCCCTCCCCCGTTTCCTCCTCATTTCTTGTCTGCTCCGTGGCAGCGCCAGCATCTCAGCTCACAATGGAGGCAGCAGTGTCGCCCGAGTCTGTTATAGGGCCCTTTCCTAAAGGCCAGGGGCCCGAAGACAAAGTGGGTTTGGATTCCTGTTCTCAGAGGGGCCCCCGGAGGTGGGGGGGGGCTGGGCCTCCCCACAGGGCCGCATGGATTTGGGCAGCGGCCCGGGGAAGGAGGCAGGACCGTTTCTGCCTCTTGGTTGCTCTTTTGGCCAAACGCAGCTGCTCCCTTAGGCACCCGGGAGCCCACAGGCTCACGAAGGCAGAGGAAACGGCCGGCGCATTCCCCTAGTTCACAGCAGGGAGTCAGGGGTAGGATCCCGACCAACTCAGCCCAAGCAGGCCACCGGGAACAGCTGTCCACAAAAAAACGGGTCTGGATGAGGCACCTGAATGTCTGTCCTAACGCCCCAGCCGTGCAAACATTGCAGAGCCTAGGCCCCCTCCCTGAAAGTCCCCCAGGACTGGGTGGGGCCCGTCACGGAGTCAAGTCAGATGTAAGGGATTGGAACTCAGATGTCTTCTGGGACTAGGTAGGTAGGTGAGGAGGGCAATAGAGAGTAGTGGGGACTGGCGCTCCAAAGCTCATGCCCCCATCAGAAGGCATAGCAGCCACTTGACTCCAGCCTATGTTGCCATGTGGGAAGATGAGTGCTGTGTGGTCAGAATTTATGATTTTCCAGGAGAAGCTGGAAATCTGGCTTTTAATAGGGAATTTTTTTTAAACCCTGTGCCAGTGGAATTGAGTACATCTTTGATCTGGCCTGTAGAACAACTGATTTAGAGCATAGATCAGAGAAGTTAGGACATGGAAGTGAAGTGTGTTAGGGCCAGAGGGCCTCGGGCCGGTTGATTGCCCCTGCCCCGTCCCTGCCCCAGGGATCTCTTCCTACCTTTGGGCCCTTCGGTCCCCTTCTCACACTCACTGGGCTCTTCCCCAGCAGCTGCAGCTGCCAGAGGCGCTTCTGGGGCACTCTCCAGGGCTTGCCTTCTTTTCTCCAGAGGGAAGCTGCAGCCTGGAGCCTGAACACAAGTGGGTGAGGTGTGCTGAGCTCCCCAGAGAGGACGGCATCTTTTCACCTAAGACTCTGGGAGCCAATGCCCTGACTCCAGGGCTCTGGGGGCGTTTTGAGCTGAGTGGATGCAGATAGACCTCGAGTCAGGGGCTCCTGGGGCTTCTGAGAGGAGCTGATGGGGACGGGGGTCTACAGCCTGCTCCAGCCACCTCGGTGCCGAAATGCTGCCGAGCTGGCACAGGCAGTTCCCCAGCCTCGCCCGACGGGCCGGGTGGGAGGGGCGGCATGGGCTTGCATGCATATATTAGTCCCACCACTCACGCTGTGGCCACGTGGACTCAGAGCCCCTCAACAAGAAAAGCGAGATTTAAAAAAAGGGCCTGGCCAGTGTGGCTCAGTGGTTGAACACTGACCCATGATCCAGGAGGTCGTGGTTGGATTCCCGGTCAGGGCTCATGCCTGGGCTTCGGGCTCGAGCCCCAGCAGGGGCCACACAGGAGGCAGCTGATCAACGACTCTCTCATCATTGATGTTTCTATCTCCCTCTCGCTCTCTCTGAAATCAATAAAAACATATTTTAAAAAAAGAAGATGGGAATGATACTTCTGTGTTAGGTTCCATTGCTGTGCAATGAACTGCCACACACTGGGTGGCTTAAAACGTCCATCTATTATCTCGTGGTTCTGTAGGGCAACGGTCTGCCACCGAGCAGCTCCTATGGTTTGCAGTTAGGGGTCCGGCCTGGTACTGCTCCCCTGTGGACCCATCTTCCCCCCTCCAGCCGACACTGCTGCTGTCGATCTCTGAAGCATCCCTCTCCTCTGCCTTGCCAATCGGAGCCTGATGCTGTTCGGGCAACAACATGCCCAACTCTGGGGGAGGAACTGTGATCCATCTCAGGCTGTCACAGCCATCCCCGTCCTTTTTTCAAGATGTCTGCTCTTACCTTCTCCCACAGCTAATTTCTGTCTAGAGACAAAGGGGTGCTTCTCAGGACATTTTCTTCCCTGATAATAAGAAACCTGTTCTTGCTTAGCCTCTTCTTACCTTGAATGGGGTTATGTAAAGATGAAATGGTTGGAGCCATGGCAGTCATCTTGTGGCCATGAGGCAACAAGGTTAAGGTTTAAAAAACCAAACAGTGAGATCCAGCTGGCTTGGCTCAGGGCTTGAGCGTCGACCTATGAACCAGGAGGTCACAGTTTGATTCCCGATCAAGGCACATGCCCAGGTTGTGGGGCTCGATCTACTGGGGAACGTGCAGGAGGCAGCCGATCAATGACTCTCTCATCATTACTGTTTCTACCTCTCTCTCCCTCTCCCTTCCTCTCTCTG